TTTCTATTTCCTGTTGTGGTGGACTAGGTATTATTATAGGTCTGGGCGAAACGTTGAAACGTAAAATAAAAAAATATATATTTAATTATTTTTATTATATTTACATCCTATATATCTTCCTTTGAGATTTATTGTTTGGAGTTAATAATAAGATTTTACATTTTAGAATAATATATTTAAGCTCTCATTAGTAAGGTTTTGAAAATTCGAAAAATGAAAATTGAGAGTACATAATTAAAAATAAATAAATTAAATAAATGATCACAGAGGTCCATAAACCAATGTGTAAGCAGACAAATTTAATTATTAATATAATTTTAGTTTTTTCTTTTATTAAAATTTTGAAACAGATTTTCATTTTATAGCTCAGCTAAAAATGATCGAACGAAGTTTCATTGATTACAGTTAAGTAGTTTAAAAACAAGAAACTGGATTTTGAGACGATTTTCGCTACAAAACTTCAAAAAATGCTAAATCAGTTCCAATATATAAATAAACTCATCGATTTTATTTTTTATTTTTATTTTCAATACGATAGGATAAACAGCGTCCTATCTAAATCTTATCAACTGTAACGTTTTCCACAACATTCCATTCTGCGTGAATACGATTTGATTTTAAAATTATAAATTACGTATTAAAAACAATCAAAACATGAAAATATGTAACTAATTCTTGAATCTTGTTTTATTATTTTTGTAAAGTTTTTTTTTTACTTGTTTGCAATGTTCAAGGTGAATAGAGAGTGTCAAAAAGTTATCCCGGTAAGAGAATAATAAATAGATTACTGGAGTGCCGGGTCTACTGTAAATATTTGTAAAAGGCAAGATCAAATATTGCCTGATTACCAACCAACCAGGAATGCTATATTTTGTGAACAATGAAAAGATTGCCCAGGAATTAAAAACAAAAAATAGCTTCGATATGGATGGTACATTTATTTTTTTTTGTTATTTCTGAACTAGAACTTTTTCTCATGGCAAATTTCATTTAATGGTCTTGTAGAATTTTCTATTTTTTATTTTGCTTTAAAGTTCTCTAAAAACTATCCATTTCGCCAACACAACTTTCACATATTATGTACAATTACGTGTGGCATAGGTACGGTACAACTGAACGGAACAATGAGAGAGAATAAACCGAATAACTGGTTTATACCGTTAAAATGGTAAAATATAACCATGTTTTATAGAAAAACATATTAAAAACTTGTTCATCTAATTACATTCAATAGCACTTCAAGCACTAGCGGATCCAGGATTTAATTTTTTTTTTGGGGGGGGGGGCTTCAGCCTGAAAGATTTTTTTCATATACATGTAACGATAATTAAATTGAAAAAAAAATAAAGAAATTAATTACCTATATGAAATGGTGTTTAAGTGGTTCTTAAAGTCCTATTAAATATAATTACACGAACAAGAATACTTTAAGAGATAGTTTTTAATATTTTTTTCTGTAAAAGATGGTTACATTTTACGATTTTGGGGGGAAGCTTCAGCCCAAAAGCCCTCCCCGTAGATCCGCCTGTGACTTCAAGTATCAATTAAACACCATTTCATATACGTAAATTGTACGTAGTTAATTTCTTTCTTTTTTTTCGAATTAATTATTGTTGTATATATGAAAAAAAAATCTTTCGGGCTGAAGCCCCCCCAAAATTAAATCCTGGATCCGCTAGTGTGTAGTACTTAATATAGAAAGAACAATCAATGTATTACAGCTAATTTAATCTAAGCCTAATTATTGCCCGTTTCTGATTTAACCAAACTTTTTTTTTTAAGTACTTTAATAAATACATATCAAACTTTTGAATTGAACCCAGAATTTTATAAGAAAAATACTCCATCGAAACTGTTAGATTTTTAAAATTTTTCAAAATGAAAACTTTGAAGAAAGTTTCAAACTGTTCAATACTGCCAATGGCGAAGTGTCTCCCTAATTGAAAAATTAAATTATTTTTTCTTTGGTCCATACTTGCTTCTGTGGGTTATATCATGTGATTGTCAAATTCTCAAACAAACAAAATATGTCATATTTTTTAATTTTAATTCATGTGCATTGCTACTAAATATAAACGTGCCAAGAAAAAAATATAAACAATTCATCGTCATTTGAAAAAAACAAAAAAAAAAACAAGCCCCATAAAAATTAAATCTTGATCCACTACCGTATACTGTTGAACTCATGTCATTGAATAATATTTTTGTTTTTTCCTTTTTTTTACTTCCTATCAGCTAGCCGGCGCTATCAGATATAACACTTTATAACCTCCATCACAAACAAGTTTTGAACTTTCATAAAATTACTTGTATTTTGGTTTATCATGATAAGAGTGATGTATTGTTGAAATAAATATAAGAATATGAATACGTATCGTTGTAATTATCGTTAGTTAAAACAATAATTTTAATATTAAACCGAATAATTGATTAATTAGTTATTATTTCAAGATCTAAAAAAAGAAAAAAAACGTCCTAAATATTGAGTTGTTTTCTTAAATTTGAAACACACTTCTACTAATAAACATGTTATATAATGTTCGACTCAGGCACGTTACTAGTAAACAAACAACACTTATGACATCACTGTAAACAGTATTTATTAAAATTATGGATACAAGTTAACAGACCTTCGAATGTACTAGCCCTGCACAGCAAAATTATTCAAGGTAGTAATGATGCCTTCTGCCTGACTGTCGTTCCGCCGCACGACCTTTGGGACCTTGAAAATGGCCGGTTACATCATTCGGTCTCTTTGTGAAGGAACTATACCAAGCGCCGTATTCCCATGGCTTGTCCTGCCTTCACACTTCGAGGAGTAGTTGCGAGATGTGTTTCGGACGGAGAATACAAACAAACTGATTTAATCGCTGAAATGGGTCGCCGGAATGAGGTACGTCGTTGATTGCGCATCTCAAGGTTGAAGTTACTACACTTTCACCTTTTCCGAACGGTTTAAATCAATCTTATCCTATCTAAATATTTAAAAAAATATATATCTTAATATTTATTATAGCACCGATTGATCACGAAGTGCACCCAAGAGAATTCTCTAAGTATCCACAGATATTATACTGTTTATTTATTTTATTTTATTTTTATATGTTTATTTTTTATATATATAAGTATGTTTTTTTTTCTATCTTTCTCTCTATATGTATAGTTTATATTACCTATTATTTTATAAATATTTAATTTAAGGTATGGTCACACTGACATGTTTTATTTTTTCTGCATTTATAATTCCATTTGGATAATGAAATTATATTAATTTCCTTTCAAATATAAAACGTTGATTGAATCAAAAGATTAGAGGGGTGACAAAAAAAAAATAAAATAAAATTAATAAAATAAATTAAAAAAAAAAAAAAAACATAAGGTTTTAGTATATATACTGCTACGACAAAAGTTGTAAGTTACAAGAAAGAGCCATTCAAGGGGGTATGCATGGGTAGGCCATGTATGTGTTTTTTTGAATTTCTTTATTTTTAAGTTATTTAATTTTTTTTTATTTTATATTTATATAGGCCAAACGGCCCATTATTTTTTAGGCCACCTTTTTTTCTCGATTTCGTGATCTAATTATCATACGATTCATGTAGAAGGCATATGAGTGGTTGTTCATATTTTTTTAGTAAATTAATAAATTGAATGAGAAAATGCCGGTCTAATCGAGGATACCATTTCACACAAACCTACAAAAATGAGGCATTAAGAACCAATAAATAAAAATATTTTTATATATTGCATGAATCCTTCACTGACATAGCATGAGTCCTTTATTCAAAGATTAAAACACTGACCACTAGAAAATCTTTTATCCGTAAGTACACCAAATCTGGTCCGTAATCTAAGAATAACTACAGCTTTATAAAATAAGACACAAATTCTAAACGTTGTGATTGAAATAATAAAATTTTTAAACAGGTTATTAAAACAGGTGTTTTGGGCATACAACGGTTGTACTTTTAACCACAGGTACAAGATTTTCAACGATGTTTGAGTACTTGTGAACGACGTGGTCTCTATGGACTGCTATCTGCCAATGTTTATAACCTGAACACTATAAATATTAATAAGAAATATAATAATAATATTGTAATTTAATAATAAGAAATAGAAATAACAAAACACTTTCATTTGATTTATTTTGAAAGGCAAAATAGTTTAATGCTATTTAAAATAGCGAGGAACGGTCCTCTTTCTTCATATTATTGTGAGCTCGCCGCCACAAAAATATGAAGTTATGATAGTTTCAGCTGGTCTTTGGCCCACTGTATTCTTGTCAAATTGTGAGATCACCCATAAATTAATTTTAAAGCGGTTGAAAAGGTAATGTTCGACCATTCTAACCACGTCCCTTTCCCTATAGACACGTTATTCTTACAAGTGTAACGAAAGCATCTCCATTTCGTCTTCCCGTCGAACTTTATTTCATGACCTTCATCACAATATTTCACCTTAGTAATTATCCCGGCGTCTTGAAAATATTTGATAGCCTCCTCTTCTGAAGACTGCAATTCCCACAATGTATCAACATCCATTTCAATAACGCACAATCAACAAAGTTCAATCAATAAACGCACACCCAACAGCTTACACTAGATAAAAAGGCAGGTTATGTGACAACACAAGATAAGAAGATGACGTAAGATAAGATAAGAAGGGAGGTTTGCCAGAGACCACGTCGGTCACAAGTACCTATATTTGATTATATAGATTTTTATATTTTATATGAATATTTAATATCTGTGGTACTTGCGCATAGTGTGTTAAATTTAAAAATCATATTTAGAGAAAAATGGAATTGGAAGTATGGAATTTTCACGGGAGCAAGATCAAAGGAATGGTCATATCCTTAATATTTGCATGACTTAGACCATTGGACACATGGAAATAGAGAAAATTAGCTTTATGGTGATACCCATAAAAATTAACAAAATTGCACTTAATCCACTTTTCACAAGTGACACAGATACATACAATGATACTGGACTCACCATGAGCTTCTCCTTAAGAAGGCTGGATATTGAGTTGACGGAGGTGATGGAGTTGCCTGGGGAAGGATCGGTGAGTTCAGTGGTGTCGCTCCTGTTGTCCTGGTCCACTTCGATCTTGGACATCATGTGCGAAGAGGGCATCACGGACTTCTTCCGCACTCTGTTGGGCAGGGGCATCCTGTAAAGGCGGCAGTATGAGTACTATCGGAAATAACCAATGGAGTCAGTCCCTCGAGCTCCGGCAATAACCCGCGAACCTGCTTGACTGGTGAGATTACCTTCCAAAATAATTGCACCTTTACCCGACCCCCCCCCCACCAATCTGCAAATCCCTCACAGAGACCCGCGAACATTAGAATGGAATTGCGATAATCAGGCTAATTACACCAACAATAAGTCCCGTAAACAGAGGGAAATATTTATAGGAGTGATAGTAGAACTCAAGGGCTACAAAAAAGATTATTTAAACAATTAGTTAATTTTCAGCAGAAAAATAGGAAATCTAAGTTTTGTCTTTTTTTTTTTTAGTAAGTCGTGTTTTTTGTTGAATAGGAATCCATAACTTGAGAAAAAAATTGTTTAAGTAATTAAAAATTGCTCCTCTGTAAACTAGACAAAATTTACTTCAAATGAAAATAGAATTTGTTATTCTTAAAACCATTCACAAATGACTTTCAAGCGGTTAAACTAAGCTAAGTTCTGTTTTTAAAAAAATCATAAATTATTCTTAATTTTTTTTATCATCATCCAACTATACTACAAATGCCCCATATTTAGAAATACTTTATATTATTATACTTTAGAAATTCTATATACCTGATATAAAAATACACAATTAATTAATAGAATTATGTAATAGTTTTAATATTAATTTTTCTTCGCAAATAAATGTTTTAAAGAACAACAACAGGGATATCCATGACCTCATGTGTCTGCAGTATCAAAACGCCATTTATCTTTCGACAAAATATACAAATTTATTTCCTGTAGAACGCATTAAATCAATTATTTCTCATGACTATGATAATTATCTCTTCTTATTTCTAATGTTTCTAGGTCATTTGAGATCCGTGACCTACTCCAATTATATATCAAGGATAAATAAGGCAGTATAGGCGATAAAATGGACTCCAGTCTTATACTACCTGGTTAAGCGCTAATAGCATTTTTTGACATTCGTAACATCAGTAGCGGGTTCAGGATTTTGTTTTTGGGGAGAGGGAGGGACTGTTTTTACTTTCCTACCTATACTAGGTAAGGTAAGTATTGCAATCGGGTCAAATTTCGTTTCAGATCCTCCTGAGTCCGAAAAACACATTTTTAGCCATTGGTCTGTCTGTCTGTCTGCGCCAAGATTTTCTCGGGAACTACTGAACCGATTTTGTTGCTTCTTTTTTTATTTTATAGGGGTTTGATTACAGATGCCTGTGACAGAAATTCGGTGCTCCATGCGCAATAGCTTGCGCGCAATAAATGAAAAACATGTTTTTCTATGGACTGTAGCGCGAACACGGCTCTAACGATTTTGATGAAACTTTCTTATAATGTTCTAAGCCCCATCCTTTCAATTTTCGGATTCCTGAAAAAATCACGAAAAGAAAAGAAAAATGTTATGGGGCCTAACTCCTTAGGTATATATTATACGCTAAAATTTATAATGAAACTTTTGAAAGGTAATTAAATTACCAAAAAAAAAAAAAAAAATCATTGGAATCGAACCAGTATTAGCGATGATACAGCTTATTCTATTTTTTTACACATTTTTATAACTTATTACTTTCCTACCTATACTAGGTAAGGAAAGTATTGCAATCGGGTCAAATTTCCGACATGCGGTTTTCGACGGATTTATACGTTTCAGAGCCCCCAGAGTCCGAAAAACACTATTTGTCTGTCTGCCGTTTGAAAGGTAATGAAATTCGCTACAAAGCCATATAAAAATCGTTCATTTGGACAACTATTAACGAAGTTACAGCTATTCAATTTCCAATGTAACATTACGGGTTCATATCTTGGTGTCAGAAAGGGGTGAATCAGAGAATTTATTCTTGTATGACTAAAGAGGTCATTTTTAGATGACTCAGTGAAAAAAAAAAATCTGTTGCCCGCATCACACAATCTTCACTATTTCCTCTACTTTTAACAGAAATTATTGTTTGACTATACTAAGCTATGGCAAAAAGTTTTGATCAGCAATATTAGTGAGTATTGAAATTTTTACACTGATCTATCTTAAGCGGGTTTGCATTGCTTTAGTTTATCAAATAAATTGTACTCAAATCTTTTGTCTGATCAATTTTCAGGAAAATAAATCTAGTTCAATTCGTTTTTATTTTCCCATGAACATATGTAAAGATATAAAAAATTTTCTGAAATAGGTAGGAAAGTCGTGTGAGTGGACACACCAGATATTTTCCTTTTTTAAATTGAAGAAATTATAAGGACAAGGGATAATATTTTTATATTTTTCCGGGACACGAGGTCAAATTTACCAGCTGAAACACGTCCATTGTAATTTACTGATTGAATATAATGTAATTGTCTATAAGTATTTGGTCCAGATGACTCATAGAAGTTAAGACAAATAAAAAAAAATCAATTTACTATTTTGGAGAAGTGAGAGAGGGGAAGAGACTTTAGATCAAACCCCCTCCCCCTTCCCTTCAAACCGTTAGAGCTTAACATCATCACGGAATCCCGGAGCAGTCCATAAGAAATTGTCAACAGAAGAAATTATTTTAAAAAAAAAGCTTTGCAATTTTTTATGATTGATTTTTAGTTCCCTATTTTATCTCAACAAAGACAAACATTCCATTGGTTAAACGCAGTAACTGTTTACAAAAAGAAATAATAAAACAGGTTGGATAATCGAAGTATCACAACACTAAACGGAGGCAATAAATGTTAATAACCACCTTCCTGATAAGATGTTAATGTGACTAATGCATCATCACAATCATGAAACTATAAATCTGATTTTTTCAATTTTACAAAAAAAAAAAAAAAAAAAACTGTTTTCAAATGTTTTAATTGAGCGGATAAAGAGAGCAGCCAAGGACATTGAACATGATTCAAAACAGTTTTATATTTTTTTGAGAAATGATTTTTTTAAGCTAATCATAAAACATTTTTAGCATTTCTTACCACACACGTATAAATAAATTTATATTTTCTTCTCTTTTTGTTTTAAACATTCCTAAATATATCTCGTCGCCTTTATTATCTTAAGAAATAATTGTTTCAGGGTATTCAAACTCCGGTACATCTCATATAACTTACTTAGTTGGATTTATTATTTATTTATTTATAACAATGGCGGGGCTCCTCAACCTCTTACGGGTCATTTTAGTCCTTACAAAATATTTGTTTTACATCAGATGAAATTAAATTTAACAATAAATTGAAAGTTAAAACCTAGTTGGATTTAAAGTAGATAAGTATTGATCGTTCTATAGGTAATCATTATATTGTGAACTAATGACAAATATTGAGCGCATATCATAAAACAAAACATATATATTAATTTAAAAAACAAATTAAAATTATATTTTTAGCTATAGGTAGTTAATGAATAAACCGACCAATTTTTTAAAAATTAATTTATAAATACTTGGATCAATTTACTTTTGTTTGTAATAAATTAAATAATGTTCCATTCAAATAATTGTTGCATAAGAAAATACGAAATATTCAATAGTTAAATTCTACATGAGTTCGCCAAGCAGTTAAAACTCGATAATCATTATTAAACATTTGAGGAAAATATAAATGAATTGACATGTCTCCAACTTTTTTTTTCCAACGCTTACATATTTTCGTACATTCACTATTATAAGTACTTACAAAAGATAACAGTGCATTATTGTACTTTTTGAGTTATTGGCAAATAGAAATGTGAATTCATCGTAATTTTTTTCAAAAAAAAAATATATTTAAACTCATTTTGCTTACTCGGTGAAAATTTGAGTAATTTATTTTTTATTTTTCGATTGCTACGAAAACTCGTATTTGAGAGTTTTCCAGATGCAACATACAAATCTCAATTTATTGATTTATTTAAGTTTCTCCCTAAACACTTTGCTCCTTGGGTCGGTACTAATTGTTTCATTTCAACGATGTACTTAAACGTTTTCGGTGATTTTGTTTTCCTTTTTCTTCATTTCGTTGGAAATTCGGAAAGCTTTAAAATAATTATTGGTATAATTAATCGAAAATTGTGTACTTTTATGATACTGCAAATAAAATACTGAATTCGTCGTAATTTTCTGCAGCTTGTTTTCGGGAAAGTATACCACAATTACGAAATAAAAGGTCGGATGGTAATGAAATGTATATAAAAACGCTCTTTAATTTTATTGCAATGTTGTATCAAATTTTCAAAGCAATCGGTGAAGAATTTTCAGAGATTATAATAATGTTATGTATATTGACTTTTTCCAAATTTTTTTATTGATAACACTAAAGCTCATAAATTGATATTAAACAGAAAAATAAAAAATAAAATCGATTGAGAAACAGAGAAGAAAAAAGGACTGAATTGTTTTGTCTTAGCCTATTTATATGAGTCTTTCTGTTGATAGAATTACTAACTCCAATTTCAACATTTTTAAGTAAAGTCGTTTTAATGATATTTCTAGTTGGAAAACTTATAATATCTGTACAGAGAGTGAGTAAGTTGATTCCAGAGTAGGTGATTGCAGTGTTGAAATATAGAACTGTGAATAAAGGTGTGAATTTACTCACTAGAAATATCACTAAAATTAATAATAAAAATTGTTGAGATTGGAGTTAGCCATTCTGCCAACTGAAATGCTCATATAATGATATATAGATACAATAAAAAGATAGATATTGTATTATAATGTATTTATAATAAAAATAAGAGAAATAAATTTAGTACATACGGCTCCTCACTCGTAGCTACACTGGTATAATTACTCATTGGAACTGGACGAGTGTTAATGAGTAAATATTAAAGAAATCACAAAAAACTTAGAAAGTACTTTGTATGTAGTGATGATATTTATTTTTAGACGAGCAGGCACCGATATTTGAAACTAACAAGGTTGTGTGACAGAGCAAAATGAATCTTTTTATGCAAAGGCATGCATCTGCCAAAATAGCTAGAAATCCGTAATAAGAACTTCGTTTGTTTTCGTGACAAATGACCTACAACGGTTTTATCTCTTCAAAGGAATTAATAATACATAAAAAAATTGTCTAAAAAAACAAAACAAGAATATGCAGGTTCAATACAAATAATGGACTTTAAAGTGGACGAAACAAGAAGTCAGGAACAATCGTGAAAATTTATTATTGTACTATATTTTTGAATTTAAGCAAACCAACTGACAAATTTTACTAACAATATTAAAATAACTAATAAACTATATTAAAAATAACTAATATTAAAAAAATAAATAAAACATAGAAACAGATTACTTTTTAAAAAGTAAAGAATATACTAGGTTAAGACATGTCGATTTTTTTTTAAGTATTTGATATAAATGGAGAAGAGAAATAATTGGAGTTTTTGTTTTAAATTTCTTTAAGAACTTTAGCTATGAGGGATGACTCATTTTTATCTTATAGCCGTTTACATCAAACTTCTACTAGAAATATATGCACATCGAAAATACAACTGTCAAAAAAAAAAAAAACAATAAACAGATAAAATTAAAATAAATGATTGGGGAAGTTTATTCCTACAGTTATCTTGTTTGAACATGAAGTTGAAGGTTGGTGATGTAGATTAAATATTTTAGAACTTTGTTAGTAAATCGACATAAAAATGTATAGTCATTTCGAGTGTAATTTTTGTACCGCAATAAAAAAGGAATGAATTCGACTTATGGCAATGATAAAGCCGCATATTAATGGCTAATTTAAAGATCAACACCTTGATCTTAGAAGGGAGAGGCGGAATATCACAATGTAAAATTATCCGCAATAGAAAACAGTATAATTTTTAACGCAATTAAAAACTACTTACAGGAACTGGTCAATCAATAGCTCGTGAAATTGAAGTTAAGATGGGCGGGACATGTAGCTGGGAGCGATCCATCAGGAATATTCCACACAATGAATAGTATATTGCCTCAATAGTAAACAATAAACAAAGTAGAAGGCCAAAAACCAGGGCGTTGGATCGTATCAACAAAGATGCTGTAGACATGCAGATGACTGCCAAGAAATAGCCCGAGAAAAGCAGCGATGGAGAAGCCTGGTTAAGGCGGCAAAAGGTCTGTAAAGCCAAGATATTATATATACAAAACTAACGGCGGACCAACCCCCATTTAGAAATTATACAAATGAAAAGGTGTATGAATGATTGAAAGTGTTAAAGAAAAGAATAGCTAAAAATTTAAATCCAGAAAAGTTATCTGAATAATGGAATTAGGACACAGTATCCGGAAACCCACACAGCGGTAGTGTTCTGCGGAAGTTCCGTCTTATATGTAAAAAATAAAATATAGGTCACTGAAAACTTATATAATTGAGAGATGTAGCCCCAGTGAATAATAATATATTTATATATATATTTTTTTTTGGCTCAACAAACCTTGTAGATCTTTATAATCCTTAACCAGCTTTTCCCATCTGAACTCATCTTTCTCTGTGCAGCTCGGCAGTATGTTCATCAACCTCCTTCCCTTCATATTGCGAGATATTGATTGACCAATTTCTGTAAGCATTTCTTTATTGGACTTTCTCCTCCATAAGTACTTTGACCCCATATACGAGAGGTTTGAATGTATAAAATGAATTAAGAAGATAAGTAACATTTTCAAATGATGAGGAAACTGAATTCAAAACAGCTTTTTCTGCGATGAAACCAAAAGTATCGTCACTTAGTACTTTTATCATCTCTATTCTGATTCAGATAATGAATTTATGTGAATGGAATAAAAAAAAATAAAACAAAAAAACCTATACCACTACAACCCATGAAGGGTCTTGAGTTCATTACTATTTAGGGAAAGCACTGTTTCTTGGGCAACGGTTGTGCAAGGAAGTGAATTGGCCAAGATCAGGGTTCATTGGGGGTGAGGGCTCCCACTCACTTTATAGAGACTAGGGATGCCCCAGAAGGGTGGGTCTCCCTTCAGAAGGCCCGATGAAACAGAATAAATATTTTTTCTCCCCTCAATCAAGATTCAAACCTGGGACCTTGATCATTTGAAGTTCAGTACCCTACCACTGAGCTACGCCACTCCCGTGAATAGAATGAGCAAATATAAAAAACATATCACTTTACTCCATTCTTAACAATAATTCGATTTTTCTGCAAAATTATTACCATCAACCTTATCTATTAACATGAACAAACACTGAATTAATTATATTTAATAACTTACTTTGCCGATTCGGATTCAGGAGCGCTGCTGTCACCCTCGGAGATGCCCCCATCGCTGAATGTATCACTTGTTTCATATCCGTCTGCATGCCGGACTCGTTCAGGTGTCAACTGTAAACAAATTGTCAATCAATTTCTCAGTTTCAAATTAAATTTATAACTTATACATAGTAAAAAGTTGGAGAATCTTTATTAAGATTTATTTTTCAATGCAAAGACAGAATATATGGCCATTAGCGCTGAGGACGCCGGTAATCATCGTATCGGCGTTCAGATATGCACAAAGGGGGATGAGTTTAAGTATCTGGGATCTTACCAAGACACCTCGGGGTCATCAGAATTTGACGTGCGGAGAAAAGTGGTGCAAGCACGGAAAGCCACACGCATGCTCCATCCCGTCTTGAAGAACGGCAAAATTCTAAAAATAAACAAACGAAGACTACTCCACGCCATCGTAGAACCCCTCCTATCAGATGATAAATGAAATGTCATTTATAGAACAAGATTTTTTTTCATCAATAACCATGGTCCGCATCCCAAACCAACTTAACCTAAAATTATTAACATAGTTTCGTAAATGTTTATGAAAAAGGTCTAAAATTTTTCGTTTGAGAATAAAATCTAGGGAAGAAGACGTTTTTGAAATACAGTAATCCCTCAGCATTCGTGGATTTGATATCCACAAGTTTTGATTATTAGCGAATACAAAAATGCGAAAGAGTTATGGAAAACATCATTGGTGTACTATTAGATTTATGAAATAAAAAACTAAAATAATATTTATATTATTATAATATAATAGTGAAATACACACCGAAATAAAAGAAAATAATATTAAATAATTTAAGTTTTAGATTTGTGGATTGCGCATTCGCATATTCGTGATTACAAAATAAATCAGGAACTTAAAACAATTCAAAAATGATAATGATAATGGTCAAATCTAAAGTGAAAGTTATTTGGATAGTGATAAATATCTGTTTATATTGACACAATGCACTTATCAGTAAGACATTCAGTCTATATATCATCTAGTTTGAAAGAATTTTCTCCAGTTAAAAAAAAAAAATGTAATATTTGTGTAATAAATAATATTAATTAAAAAAATATATGTATAAAGCTAAGAATTTCTCAGTAGATTTTTGTATTACTCAAAGGACTCTTTGAGTAATACTTATTATTGATAGTCTCATGAGTGGTTAAAAGAGATATTTAATGTAAATATTCATGTAATGTAGAATTCTTATTAATTAATTATTTAGAGTAAAAATAAATAAAATACAAAAATATTCTGTTTTATTGAGGGTAGGTGAATACAATCTTCAATATTTTCGATTTGTTGTTAATTTCTTATAATTTGTTTTTCAAGGTTTCAAATCAGATTTGCTGTGGTTAACTGAAAATTTTCAATTATGATTTCACAAAATGATAATTTCATTGTTAAATGAGACAAATATTTCTTAATAAATAAGTAGCAATGAAACACTAATATAAACAGTAAAAGTGGACAGATAATTTCCGTCGTTACATTTTAATTATACGTTGAATTACGTTTTAAAATATTTAAAATATACTTATTGTATTAATTTATATTTTAAAAACTTTCACTCCAGGACAGGATAATTGTATAAAACATGTTCACATTGTTTATCCAATTTTGGTGCAATATACCTTAACTATTAAAGATAATCTAAAAGTTAAACAAAAAATATGCATGAAAATTTAATTTGTGATAACTCCACATAAAAAAAAAAAATCAATAAATTTATACTGTCCTAGTGTCAGTATAAATTTGAAACTACTTTTATTTACATATTATTTATATATGTTAAACGACATACACAAACGTACCAATCAAATAATTTTTTATAGTAATTTGTATAAAGCAGATAACAATATTTTGTTACAATACTTCGATTTATTTTAATTTCTTAAGTTTTTTTTTTTATTAATTTTTGTTTTCAATTGCGGACATAAGTTACTAAACATCTTAGAGTTTCCTATAATTACAGATACATTGTACAGTGTAAAAGTTTAAAGAACTTACTTTGTGAACATATTACTCTATTCTTGTATTTTTGTAATGAAAATTTAGAAAAAAATATTATTCATATAAATAGATTTTGCTGCTATTTTAACCAGACGTATTTTGGATGTATGTGGTCTTTAAAAACTATGAATTTTAGCATCACTAATTTTCTGAAAAAACGATTTTGAGCGTTTTGTTATCTTTTTTGTTAGTTGTTTCAATATTTTTTCCAAACTATTTTTAGTTTATTATTTTGATGAAAAACTGTAACAAAATAATTCAACTGATTAAAACATTCACACTAACAGTTTTAATTTTTTTAATTATTTCACTGTTTTTTATTACCTTGTGGTTCCGCATTGGAAATCCTATAATCGAATAAATATTTTTTCTTATAGTTTATAAATCATAATTAAAATTATATCAATTATTTATTTTTAAAAATAATAAAATGCTATTTTTTTTATAAAATAATTCGGATGACTTACACTCGATGGTCCTTCTGCACCGTCCATGTTGGTGCAGCTACCTTCGAAATAACATCAACAAACACTAACACAACCTTGGCACAGTCTTGATGAACAATCTTGGACAACTGAAAGGTTGTTATCAGTGAAATATTAGTGCATTGGTGGGGGCAACCATTATCAAAAGATGTAGACAAAGTGCATACTGTTGGGATGATAAAGTGATCCACGTTGCAATCATTTCTTCCATCCAATCTATTTTACTTTTATATGCTCATGTATGTTGAGAGAGGTATAACAAGCATGTTTGAATGTTCCATTAGAAAATGAGAAATTCATTCTTTGGTTAAAAGTTCAATGAGAAATTTCCTATCACATTTAAACATCAACTTAAACACGCTACAATAACTAATCCCATTATCAATAAAGCAAGGTCGTGTGAATAACCGACATCATATGTAAAGGCGGATAAGCTACAATTTTAATCGATATTTACAAAACAACGTTTGCCAAGCAGATCATTATCCACCTCACTTCTATTGAGTAAATAAGGAAGACTAATTTATTTTTTTAATTGTTAATATCTATATGTTAAGATATTAGTTCGTTAAGTTAAAAGTTCTTTCTGCTATTTGACATCTTTAACGTCACTGTCGTTTAACATAAACTATGTGGGCACATTTTTAATCGTTATTTGTCTGCCTCTAATAGAAAATGCAAAAATATACATGGATGCGTGTACGTATACATTTCAATTAGATAATAATTTTATGTGAAAATGGAATAATACATAATAAACGTGAAACCTCAAATTATGAGAGGGGGTTAAGTTTTTGGTCGATCACAATGGTTGATTATTGAAAATAATAAACCAAAAATATTTAAAATTCGCGATATCTCTGCTAATAGTGCTTTGATTTCGACGAAACTTCCTTCATTTTTTAGGAAATTTAAATACTTTTGAAACATCTCATCACAACATTTCCAAACAAGGGTATATTTTTTGAGTTATTCGGAATTAAATTTTACCATCCCTCGTAACTTTTCTCACAGCTTCTTTTCGTTGAAGTATGTTATATAGATAAATTTAAAGGGCGTAGAAGGAATGACTTTAGCGAAGTTTCATTGAAATCGCTACATTCGTTTAGGCGCTACAGTCTATAGCAACGGGCGCCATTTTGAAAGTAAAAGGTGGATAATAATGTCGATGAAGGAGGATCATCTTCGGGTGACCTCTGATTTTATATCCAAATTCGAAAAAAAATCGGTCCAGTAGTGTCGGAGAAAATGCACGGACGGCGGACGGTATAATTTTTATTCGTTTTTCGAATTCTACGCATCCTGAAACGTGAAACCTCAAATTTTGAGAGGGGCTTAAGTTTTTGAATTATTTGGTCGATCACAATGGTTCATTATTGAAAATAGTAAACCAAAACGTTTGATATATTAGACCCTTTTTACCAAATTATTAACATCCGCCTGAAACTTCGTAAATAGCTTAATCTCATCGTAACCTACAACTATTTTATTTACGAAAACTCTTGGAATTAGGGCGTTTTCAATCTGGAGGAGGGCAAACTTTGTCTATTTAATCAAGTACTAAAAACTCATAAATACCCATTTGCTTTCTACTTGAATTGTAACATAATTTGATTACAAAATCGAGAAAAAAGGTACTTCGCAAAAATATTGGGCCGTTTGTCCTATATAACCTCGTTATTTTGAAAAGTTGGAGATATAGTTCACGTCAAACGACTCAATATTTTGAAGACCACGTTTTTTCTCGATTTTGTTATAAAATTATCTTGCGATCTGAGCAGAAAGCAAATGAGTATTTGCGAGTTTTTAGTATTTAATTAAATAGACAAAGATTGATCCCCCCCCCCTCTCCAGATTGTAAACTCCACAATTCCAAGAGTTTTCATAAATAAAATAGTTGTAGGTTATGATGAGATGAAGCCATTTACGAAGTTTCAGCCGGATGTTAATAATTTGATAAAAAGGGATCTGTACCACGGACTATATCGCATTAAGTTTGAAAGTATTTCAGTATAATATCCAATACCATATGTTCGAGTATCTTCATATTTCACTGAAAGTATATTCCTAAAAATTACCTTAATTTGATTCTTTAAATGGAATTTGATTAAATTAATACTAGAATATTTGTAGGTATACTATACCCCAATTTTGTGACTAATGAATGAGCCGTTTTTAAAAAATATTAGTGTATAAGTAGAAGATGGTATTTTTATATATCACTCCTCACAATCTCTGAAAATTGAATCAAAATCGGATTAACGGTGCTAGGTAATATGCCCAACACATAAATTTGAATACTGACAGACAAAATTAAATTAGGTTCTTGAGGATTTTGACGAGAAAAATGTTTTCAACATCCAAGAATACAAAGCTTCCCCACCTTTATATGCTCCTGAAGGTTGGTACGGAATTAGGGATGTCCACCTCCACCAAGCTCGATGGCGCATGCCTCCTACTCCTCCCAAGAAAATTTATTGCTCTCTACTTCTTAAAAACAATTAAAGTTAAAAAAAAATTAGAATTTTTTTTTATAATTACAGCTATGTGGTCAGTTATATGTTTTTCGCTTGTTA